TTAAGATTCAACCGAAGTCTCCTTTCGAGACCGACATACAAATCCGTTCATCGCGCATTTTCATAAGAGATGAAGGTCTTTATTTTAACAATTTTATTTCAGGAGATCAATCGACACCGATGTTTTTTCGTATACACCCATTTTACGGCAATCTAACGAATACACGAGAAGCTAAACGACACTCCAGCGGGCATTCTCGAACAAGCTGAATAAGGTCACTGAGGCTCGACTATGGACGACACAAATACTAGTTCACTACCCAGTCTGGTGTTAAATAAAATGTCAAGTGAAAGATTTTTCGAATTAAGTATTGGTTCTCGTGACTACCAGTAAATCAGTTATAAGATCTATTCACCCAATTTCGACCAATGCGAGGTCTAATCTGTAGTCCACTTTATCCGGGATGTGAACAACTTTTCGGAATTCAGAGCTATGTAAATATTCAAAGGAAACGTCAGTCCAACTCATATCATTTGTGGGAAAATGCTACTTCTACCAGTCCTTCATCAGCTTAAACGAAATCGGGTGAATACATCTTATAAGTGAAAGATTGTCTGATAGAAAACAAGTTGCAATTATTGCAACGTAAAATGTAATTCGGCTGTAATGGCGTTGCCTTGGGTTATTCGACTCACATAAATTTGGCAATATTAACATAATTGGTGGAAAGTGTAGATCGGTCTCGTTGGAATAACTCTAAAAAATATTCAGTCTTGTTCTAAAAGTAATGCGAGCCTGGATTCATTGTAGCATATGCAAAATTAGAATTATAGTCGTCTTTGTTTGCATTAAATAATGCAATTTTTATGTAGATTTCAGCCAGTCTGAATGAAAAAGCTTTTAAATAGGCCAGACAATGTGACATAAAATCGTATATTATGCCACATATGAGTCCAAAATTTCTCATTCCGAGCTAGCGATAGTCTGGAAACACAACAATTTGACCCAAACCACACTCCCACTTCAAGTGTGATTAGGAAGAGGCCTAATTTGCGTCGAAAGTCGCATCGTCCCAGTGAAGCTAAGTGGCCTTTGGAGGCCTCCTTGTCCACGTCCTATTCGACCGAAATCGACTAAACTTCCTATTCCCGACGAGCTAATGGTGTTGATACCAAAGCCGTACATGACTAGTCCTCCCAGCAGGACGGAGAAGCTCTGGTCAGCCGACTTTGACTCAGAGAAGAGTGTGAAAACGCCTTAAAAGCATGCTTAGTATCCTTGGCAACGCAATTCGTTGTTATGTGGATGTCGGTGGACACTTTTTGGCTCAAGGGGTTTGCACAAAGTATGATTGAGATGACAGACAGCACAGAACACGTTGTTGCGGGCCAAAAGGGAATTAGGCGTTTCTGCGTCATTTGTAGCCCAAGAGACAGGAAGAGGGCATTTTTAACAGAAAAACAAAACAAATCAGACGACAGCTTTGCAACAACAACTTCCATTTCAAGTGAAAGTGTTGGGTGGAGAGATTCGAAGGTCGGTTCCACCGGAAGACGACCAGCAACGGATTCCTCTTGACCAGCTGTCGATTGGCTTTACTGGAACATTCTTGCTGACGCTGTTTCCATGGCAACCTTATTCGATTCCGTTAAAAAGGTGCTAAACTTTCGTCAGTCATGTGACGAACATCATCAGAGCGAGATATCATAGTCAAGAAAACTTGAATTTTTTTGTGACGATGATACCTCGCTCTGACGATGTTTGTCATATGACGGACGATGCGAAGATGATTGCCACGGAAACAGCGTCAGCATGAATGTTGCAGTAAAGCCAATCGACAGCTGGTCAAGATGAATCCGTTGCTGGTCGTATTTTGGTGGAACCGACCTTCGAATCTCTTCACGCAACACTTTCACTCGAATTGGGAAAAAGCTCAACAATTATGCAAGAAGAGACTCCTCGAAACCCAACTTTTCTCCGCCAAGCTTTGCAACAGTTGTTTAACTGACGCACGGGGTGAATACATGCTTGCACCGAACAGTCGTCTTTGGGAAGATGACAGACGAAGATTGGGGCAAAAGGTGGTGCAAAAGAATTCAAAAGCAGGTACAGTGCAGGAGCAAGCGAGACAGATAGCCTCGACAACATGACATGCTTACTCCCAAGTAGGATTCGGTTGGGAATGTGTCTGAAAATAGGGGATTGAAGTGACTCGAGCACGTTCTGGAAAGATCGCCACAAGATATAAAAGATGCTGCAGAATCAAGCCGTAAACTCATCCAAGTCATAAGGGCTAACTTGTGCATCTCAGCAACTCTCCTTATGTGCCAGAGCCGTATCATATGCAGCACACACACACACACACACACATATATATATATATATATATAAGAATATATGTCTGTTGTAACCGTACCAGCGGGCGGACAGGTAGACAGACATACAAGGAGAGTAGATAGGCAGACAGACGGTGGAAAAGATGCACAAAAAGAAATACAGAATAACAGACTAAATGATAGACCATCAGAGGTGCGGGCGAGCCTACAGAGACATTCTAATAAAAATTCGAATACAATTAAATTATCATATTGAATTCCCGCATGAGAAATAAATCAACCTAATACACACATGCACCAATATGGGTGTGTACATGCGTGCAAGCAAAAACATGTAGCATAAATGGACGGTTGGTCATATGAAATGGGAAGAAATAGAGACAAACAAGCACATACAGATGCACATACTGACACACGCATCATCAGAGCTGGAACTGATTCTTGTCAAAAGTGTCAAGGATTCATTCGTCCTCTTCTGGTGAGATGCACCTTCGAATCTATGCTTCATGCACTTTAATGCGAAATGAAAGTCTACCGGAATAATGTCTTCTAAGAAGATTCAGTCGCTCATGGTACCTTGAATACGGCACTCAGATTGACGCAATCCATGAGACATCCTCTCTCGTTTCGTCCGTCGTATGACCGGCTACATCGGAGCTGGTATGAATGTCTGTTAGTCTTCTTAACTTAGTGTTAGTTGGAGACTTTTACAAGAATAACTGCCAGCATTTACGCCGCCTACTGTACGATGGAGGAGAGCTCAGTCGGTTTTCGCTCAAGACGAGGGAGGATGTGTTGTCAACTGCACAGACCGGAATGTCGCCGAACGGCAACAGAACAAGAGGAGTTGGGGAGGCTAATTCACGAATGTCTTGATTGTGCCATTTTTGCACGAAATGAAAGTTTCAACTATTCTGTCCATTTAACAGATCCATTGAAGCCCAACTATCCTTCGCAAGAATGACGAGACGCACGGCGATACTTCAGAGAACATGTCAGCTCCACGGTCCAGCCCTGTCAATTGTCATAGCTTCTATTATAGACGAGTTCGCGTAAGGTTCGCTTTTCTCGATCGCCCTGACAACATTTCCAAGATGCAAAAGCAAAGTCCGATTATTTTTCGCATTAAGTATTGTTTTTCGTGTCTACCAGTAAATCAGTAATATGGGATGAATTCACCTAATTTCGTATAAGATCATGAAGGACTGGTAGAAGAAGAATTTTCCCACAATGATATGAGTTGAGCTGACGTTTCCATTCAATTTCACATTGCCCTGCTTTCCCAAAAGTTGTTCTCATCCCACAATGTATATTTGCTATGACAATCAACTATGTTATTTTATTTTTCGCATTTAAGTATTGTTTCGAGACTACCAGTAAATCAGTAGAATGAGATGTATTCCCCAATTTCATATAAATTCATGAATGACTGGTAGAAGAAGAATTTTCCCACATTGATATGAGTTGAGCTGACGTTTCCATTCAATTTCACATTGCCTTGATTTCCCATTAGTTGTTCCCATTAGTTGTATATTTGCTATAACAATCGACTGTATTATTTTATTTTTCGCATTTAAGTATTGTTTCGAGACTACCAGTAAATCAGTAGTATGACATGTATTCACCCAATTTCGTTTAAGATCATGAATGACTGGTATAAGAAGAATTTTCCTACATTGATATGAGTTAAGGTGACGTTTCCAAGGAATTTCACATAGACTTGCTTTCCCATAAGTTGTTATCATTCTGGCACCAATAAACTGCAGTTTCGAACTCGAATCGGTCTTATCAACACCCTCAGTCCTTTATCACCTGAAACGAAATTGGGTGAATACATATCATAATAAAGTCAGACTACTCATATACCGAGTGAGTTTTAGTGTTTGGGGCAGAGCTTTGAAGACGACGAAGGATTATTCTTGATTGGCTTTACTAGAACACTCTTAGAGATGTTGTTTCTGAGGCAATCTCGTTCGATTATGGTAAAAACGTGATCAGCTCTCGTCCCTCGTGTGACGGACATCATCAGAGCAGATTGTATCATCCTTACAACCATATTCAAACTAAGAAATGAAAAAATCTCTCCGGATCATCCATAAATGCTGTCTATATACTCCATATACAAGCTCTACGATTAAGTATGAAGTGATTTGGTTAGTTCAAGTGATATGTCAACAATGAAGCATGTGATTATGTTTGTGTGTGTGCGTGTGTGTCTGCATGCATTCTTATATGTTCAAAAGGCAACAATGATGGCTGAAAGTAATTAGAACAGAAAAGGTAGCGTCGGTTCTCGCCTATCAAGGTTGGATTAGCCCCATCACTTCCCTTGTACACACACACACACACACACACACACACATATATATATATATATATCCTAACCATCATTCCGATTGCGTTGATGAGCCCTTCGTCTTCATGTGGGAGAAGAAGAGTGGGCTTAAAAGTATAGAAAAGTGATTGGGAAGCAAAGGAGATCGCCTCGGAAACAGCGTCAACAAGGACGTTGCGGTAAAGTAAATCGACAGCTAGTCAAGAAGAATCCAGCGTTGTCTTCTGGTAAGATCCATCGTAGAATTTATTCACCAAACATCTTTACTTGAAATGTAAGAGAGTTCAACAATTATAAACCGAGAAATTGCTCATAGTGTAACATTTTCTCTTATACACCAAATTTCAACTATCGCGTTGCTATGGCGACTGTACAGTGAAACGGGCCAAATGAGTCTCCTGCCCTGGCTTAACAAGGGCTCTTCTGTACCGATCCTCCAGTGGCCGGCAGTCTGTCTTGCCGAGAGTGTCGGAGTTCCGTCTCTGGGTGTGATTGGACGGCGGTTTCTGCGTAATCACATGGAGCCTAGGCCTTTGGGTGTTGCAAAGTCACAGTCTGCTCGGCTGTCCGTCGGAAAATACGACACTGAGTCAAGTTGATGTGATCTGGTCCAGGCTCGACGGCCATGTTGCTCAATGTAAATAAATGCCACGCTTGCCTCGAGCCCCTGGGCAGAATTCCGGATCGGCAAATCGTGTAAGTGTGCCAAAAGGCCGGTTGCACAGCAAAATTTCACACCCAAATGTGATACTAAACTGTGAGATGAACCAAGTCACTTCTGCTGTGCCACCGGCGAAACTCCGGTCTCGTGTATATTTACGTGATCGTGCAGTTCACAAATCACGTTGCCATGCCACCCGACTGCCGCGTCACTGGCCCTTCCATAACCAGGCATAGCAACCTGTGAGTACACACTCGCATCCTACATGTATGGCCTTTATATGAATGACATTCTCTCTGCATCCGTGCCGTCGTTTTGGCCAAAGCGGAGTTGGTGCTACCGAAAAAAGAGGTTTTAATTGTGGTCAGAATGCCAGAAAGTCGGCAAAATGAAGGATGCTGTAGTTGCCATGGGCCGGTTTAAGTGATGAAGGACCGATGGGTGCAGCTTCTTCTAACAACACGACGGTACCACGACGGTACATACATCTTATATTATCGACTGGTAATATGGAGAGCCTACTGATAAGTGAATTATGAGTAGTGTTGTCGAGGGCTCCTCAACAATCCCACCACAGAATGTGATATGGGAAAATGTCTGGCCAAAGGACACTTGTGAAAATGTTGTGTTGTGGTCAACGTGTCATGATGATAGGCTGCACTACCGAAACCTGGGCTCGAGTCCCGCTGATGCAGATGACGAGACTAGGTCGGTTGGGAAGTAATGCTGGGTGTGAAATTGCGTGGAAACAGTGGGTCTGCGCAACTGATTGTTGCAAAATGCAACTATCTCTACCTTTATCAGCTTACACGAAAAAAGGGGAAAACATTTAATATATCTGGTCGAATGGTAGTCTTGAAACCGACTTAGAGTCCCGCAGGCCGATACTGAGGTTCGTTGTGACTCTTCCGGAGTCATCTTTGCCACATTTCATTGTTTGGCTCCAGATCCGCATTCCACGATGCACTGGCCAGCGTGGAAGGTGCCGGACATTCCGTGACTTACGAAGACAAACACACACAACCAGCCTATTTGGCGCCCCCGGTCGAAGAGGTCCTCGCAAAGTCGGTCTCTTTTGCACGGATCCTTTTACTTCGTCTCGGTTGGTTCTTGAAAGACCCGACTAAGCCTAGCAATGTCGTCAGGCGTTGATTGTCTTTGGTTTATTATTGATCAAACAGTGGGCTGGTGATTCGGAGTAGCAACACAAATATTTATTAAATTGGTCTGGGAGTACCTTGAAAATGCAGATTAATTTATAAACATATTTCAACCGAATTATCCGTTTCATAAACTAAGGCATTTGTTCGCCATCCGACAAGATGGCCATGTCTAGGGTTGTGTGTTGAGCAAACGACGCCTCAGATTGTTGTACCATATCCGCCAACGGGGTCACCAGAGCGTCTGAATTGGGGACTGGGTGTTCTGGTTTTGGGTAGAGATTTGGCCGATTCAGATGTTGCCCACGACACGTCTAAGGATGCCCTATTTCCATAAAAGTATTTCGACTTCGATTCTGATCAGCAGCAATAACTAACAATACACCAACAACATAGGCAGTAGCAGGAAAAGCAGCAGCAACGACTTCAAATTAGGTATCATCATCATCATC